TAGCTAGACAGATACATCTGGGTTCATCCCCCCATGTCCTTGCTGAGCAATTTCTAACGGGGTGTGAGTACCCCACAGAGTCACTAATTAGTAACAGTGAAATGACTCAGCCCAACCAGAGACAGAGCAATGCAAGCCAGGCATTGTTTCTTGCTCTTTGTTTCTTGTTGCAATAGACCTCAAAAGAGATGAGAAAAGCTAAACCAGTAAAGATATTAGTGTTATATGATGTTATTGGGCATTCTTGTACTCAAGATTTGCATAGTTTGAGTCAGATAAGACCCTTTACAAAGTCAGGCTCCCAAATTAAAGATCTTCCGCTGCTGTGCCATGTCTGTGCACACACTGTGTATGGGACACAGTCCTTCTTTGCTTGAAGAGTGCTTTTGAAGGAAATTATACTTCTTGTACTATTTAGAAAGTAACTACAATGGAAAAAAGTGAAGTGACTTGACCACAAATATCAGCCCTGTAACAAAAGTCTCCTACCCCAGTGCCCTGGTTCTTGGGGCTAGAAGTCATCTGAGGGATGACTGAATTGTCAGTCACTCATGCATTTAGTGTTTCAGCAGTACCAATACAACAACCTGAGCCCAGTCTGCTCTGCAATACAAAGGAATTCATTCACTATGTTTTTCAATCAGAAATACAACATCAGCAGAGTTTCATTCCTGTTTAGGTGCTGAAATATAAAAGACAGAAAATAGAAAAGAATTTTTCATTCAGATTTCTAATAGGCACTGATTATTTTACCAGTTTCTATGGCACTATCACCATGGCAGCTAGCCATTTTAATCAAAGGCATTCGCACACATTTCTGATAACATCACACTATTACATCTCCTGGGCACATGCAGCAGAAACCACTTTGTACATTTCCATAGGACAGAGGCCACTAATGTCAGCAGACATCAGGATTAGAAATGTGATATTTCAAGCATCTAATTAAAGAACAAGATCTCAGTGTTCCTTACTCTAATTCTGAAAACAATGGTGGAAATATAACCATTGTGACCAAAATGAGAATCAAAATTCTTCCACAGCTTGCTCAGTTTCTACATGGGTTTTGCCCCTTCCTTGATTAACTACTCAATGCAAATGATTACTCAGCATATCCTAAGAGAATGTGCAAATGGGGGAAAAAAAAATCACTGTAGAGAACTGAGTATCTGCAAAACACTGACAGATAAAAATAGCTATTTACCCTTTGTACAAAACCCCCATAGTTTGCTCTGTGTGCAGGCTAAACTGAAGCATTGCATACAAAACTGAAATCATGAGCAGACAGCAGCAAAACTCAGGGTTCTGACCAAAGGAATTTTCAATGTAGAACAGGAAGCATTCTAATTTTACTAAATATATCATGAAGAATTTACAAATATACTCAGCCTGAAAAATGCCTGGCAAGTACTGAAAAATACTTGCTGGAAGCAACAGCACTCCTTCATGTCATCTATGAAATACTTAAGAAAATAATTTTTCAAACTAACTTATAGCAAATTCATACTTTTTTCCTGAGATTTCTGGATTTTTTTTTTACTAAAAGTGTATTTCAAAAGGCTGAGATACTCTAAATAAATGAACTTATAAACCCTTTTAATAAAAGCTAATAAGCAAGCTGAACAAATTCTCTGTTTCAAGCCTAAAGCTTTTCAAAATGTCCATCCAAGAGATATTAAATAAACACAGATAATGTGAATAATGCAAATAATGCCAATACAGATATTGTGTTGATATCTATATTGTGTCAGCTAAAAATCACTGGCATAACAACATCCTAAAATAGACAACACTGACCTCAAATAGAGGAATAAGAAACTTAAGTAAACTGAGAATGAGACTTACAATGCATCACAATTAGCTTTGCCTTTTCAAACTGCTTAAATTCAGAAATAATCATGAAAAGTCATGCTAGGAGAACAATATGACAACAGAACAAGTAAGTCAAGTCTCTCGCATCTCCAGTACCTCCATGCTTGGCAGATTTATAGTTTTTCCTCCCTTGGGTCAGTAGCTGGGGAAGGACAACAAAAAAAGTCTAGAAAATATGACGGTGAAAGTGTTGTACTGTTACATTTACATGTATATACTAATTAATCTGCCCTTAAAATAAAGCAAATCAATTACCACCTAGGATTTTAGAAGAGTTCTGCCATCTTACTCAACTTCTCTGTTTTGTGTCATGCTTTGCCTTAGGAAAACAATAAAAAAGAAATACAGGAAAATGCAATATAATATCCATGCAATATTTCTACCACACCTCAACTGGCAAACTACTTTTTTATAAGTCTATACAGCTGAATTTTCAGACCATCTAAGCAGCCAGGTTAATCTCCCAGTTTTTTCATTAGGGCAACCTGATTTATTTGTTTAGAAGGTCCACATACCATTTAGCTCCATGCTTTAGTCTAAATATCTATGAATGCTTGTATAGTCATGTCAGTGATAAATGAACCAGTATAATACAAAATCTTCAATAACAACAAAGCCTTTTCTGTTTTCCGTCCTCAATTTAATAACAGTTGCACCTGGTATTTTAAGCCTACCATTTGCTTAACTAAAATTTATGTTTAATTTTATGTTTAATTTTTGCTTAGTATGAATCCCAAGATATGTTACGAAATTTGAGTCAAAAGGAGCTTCAGATTTCATTATGTTTTTGAAATGCAGAAAATATTAAAGAAGGAGGCTTCATTAAAAACTGCAAGATATGACGTGTAGACTATCTGGACACAAACATTCTGCTAGTTCCCTTGGTCTTTTCCTTCTCTCAGGTCCAACATTCTCTCCTGTATAACTCAATACATAATTACGCTTTGCAAGTGTTCTTCTCCTCCCATGAAGACTACAGAGGGTTACTGGGTCCAAAGGCAAGAACAGGCAAAATAACAGTATGTGACAGCACAATGATTTACACATCTTTTTAATTCTTGAGTTTATGCAGTATATAATAAATTCAATAAAAACATTCCCCCCCCCCCCTCCCCCCCCCAAATAACACAGATATAATGAATTCATCCAAGACTCTAAATCATCTGAAAATGCCACAGGGATTATATTTAAATTAGATGCTCCATGTATACTGCTGGTTAAAACACAGATTCCCTAATTTTTAAATAAGTAACACAAACTATGACAACAATTAGCACAATGGTTGCACCAGTAACATCAGTGTTCACAGCCTGCCTGTGCACAGCTCTATGAAATGCCTTACCTGGAGTCCCATTCACTGAATGGCCTTTTTGCTGAGTCTGCCAACGCGACAATAAGAGAGATGTGCCAGGGCACTGCAAGATGCAGAGTGAGGCTTAGTAGGGAAGGACTCAGTACCTTTCTACCTGCTCATTACACAGTTCTTTGGAGCCTGTAACATCCAGCCAGCATCACCTCTACGTGAAAACGTATTGATTAAACCAAGACTAAAATCTTCTAGAATCCACTGGCAAAAAACCCAAACCAACCTTTTCCAAAACCAGATACATTATTATTAAGCAATCAATCAGTTACATTTGCACTATACACGCACAAAAATATGACTCTATAAGACCTGATCCCTACCCAGTCTAATTCCCTTAACATTGTTATATTATACCTGAATTAAGCTGTCCTGGAGATGACTGAGTTTCTTGTAAAAACTACAGACATGAAAATGTAGTACCACAGAAGAACCAGACTCACAAAGGTGCCATTGCTACCCCACGTCATACCACGACTGCTGCTGTGTGGGCACACACAGCCCACAGAGGTTCTGTACTCCACACCAACGTTACAGCTTTAGCAAAAGCAGCCTTGCAATAAAAGGGTTCCAGAGGCTGGTAGGCACTGATATTCATCTCTATTCCAGATTCAAATGGAAGTCTAGCTTGCCCCTGCGTGAGCAGCACAGTCATACCAGGGAAAAATCTGGCCTCCATCCATAGAAAGGGACCATTTAGTCAATTCACACCAACAGCAGAAAACAGCCAGATCCAGCCCTAACAGCTAACACACTCATATTTTAATAACAGATTGTAAATAATAAAACAATACTTTTCCTATCAACAGCAGTTTCAATTCCAGAAGCTTAATACAATTTGCTTTAAATCCGTGCCATAGCAACCTTTATTAAAGTCAATGTCATCTGTAAGGACTGAGTTAAAATAAAATGTGGGCCAAATTTATCAGACATTAGTTCCCTTTGATACAGAGCTCAGAACTGACTGTATGTCATCCTAGATATGGTATGAGTTGCATACGTTGCATCCAGCAACATATTTTAAACCAGGCCTCTCCAAAATACTTTCCCTGATCATCTGTTTTGAGTATTTGTCTGAGATGGTGAAGGTCAAATGAAAAGTGTGAAAGGTTTCTTTCGGCTTACATCAAATTTATATCCATATGCTAGAAAATGAGCACTATTCAGGCCCAGGGAGAGAAGCCTCAAGAGTTTATTAAAATATGACAGTGTTTTAGCTGGTCAGTTTAAAGGCACATTCAAGGGACAACAGAAGAGACCATTCCCTCTGGCTGTGGAAGCTGTGTATGCCCACGTAGCCATGAATATCACTGTGCGTGAGAGACACTGACCAGCACTGAGGAACTTACTGTGACAGAACTACAGCAAAAGTAGTCAACAATTTATCCTTTTATTTTCAGAACAGGCTCAGAGGGCACAGTGCATCTTTATGTGAGACAGGTACCGAACGAGTCTCCAGACTTAGAACAGACATATTCCTACAACCTCCAGGGTAAGCGTAGGGGTAGTGAGCTTCTTAAATTTAGATTATGTAAGGTCGTGTGCCTCACTGCGTTATGTTTTATATACACGTTATATCTCACTGCACTATATTGCACCCTGTGAACTCCTAATGAGCATTACTCCCGCAAATCCAGGCAGCACCCCCTTTTGTAGCTGTTTCAGAAGGAGAACAAATATCATATGTACATCTAATAGTTATCGAATGAGGTCAATCCTGCCAAACGTCCTGACATGGTCTGAGAAACACAGAAGGACATCCCACCTGCCCGAATCGGCCTCTTGCCCGAGCAGCACCGAACCACCCGGCCAGGGAACGCGCTCCTTGTAGAGGCTGAAGCCGCGAACGCAGGAGCGAAGCGAGTCTGCAATGCAGAAGCGCTTCCCGGAGCTCATCAATGAGCCGGGGGAGACGGGGCGGGGGCAGAGCCGGCAGCCCTGCCCGCATCCCCGGCACGACCCCCGCGGCGCGGGGCGGGCGGGGTTCCGAGCGCCGGCCGTGCCCTGACGGGCTGCGGCCGAGGGCGCTGCCCGCCCGCGGCTCCGCGCAGCGACGGCTCCTGCGGCCGGGGCCCGCGGGCAGGGCAGGGCAGGGCAAGGGCACGGCAGCGCCGACGGCACCGGCCCGGCCGCCCGCGGCAGGAGGAGTGGCAGCGCTTACCTGCTCCCGCCGCTCCTCCCGCGAGCCCTCGCTAACCCAGCTCCATCTTCCTCCGGCCGGGAGGGGGAAGGGGGGCAGGGAGCCAACCCAGCGCTGCCGTCCCCCCCCAGCTGCCGCTTTCCGTCACCGCCGTCCCCCGCCCGCGCTGCCCGGCGCAGCGGCCGCCTCTCGCCCGCCCTGCAGACGGCACCGGGAGACGGAAAGCCAGACCCACCTCCCGCCGCCGCCTCCTTCTCATGAAGTCACCGGCCGCAGGGCCCTCCCTCCCCCGGCTGCCCGCAGCGGCCCGGGGAGCCGCGCTCCGCCCCGCCCCGCCCCGCGGCACGGCCCTGCCCGCGCCGCCTCCCTCCCTCCCTCCCTCCCTCCGTGCTCGGCCTCCCGGACGATGCCGGCGGCAGAGCACGGCCCGGAGCGGCCCCGGCCCCCCGCACCACGAGCGCTCCTCCGCCCCCCGTGGATGTCCCGCGGCACGGGGAGATGGGGAGCGTTGCTTCCTTTCCGTGCCCATGCTCGTTGTGGAAATCGCCATGCCCGGTTTGGCCCACTGCAGAGTGGGTACGCTACAGTAAGTTACTGCTGTAGATGTGCCTGCTATCTCGACATGAAAGTCTAATTCAGGTTACAGTAACTTCTCAACTAACCTGGTTCCAGCTATTCCAGTGTGCACACAGGTGTGTTCTGTCTCACTAGGTTAAATCTACCTCCCCAACGCCAAAGCAGTCTTTCGCTGCTACTCTTCCCGTAACATTACAGTTGAAAAGGAAATGGATTAAGGAATACACCTCTAGAACTGAGCACTCCATTTTTTCACTTACTATGACAAAACCAGAAACATGCAAGACTAAGAAAAAGGCAAAATATGTGGAATAGAAGGAAAAAATGACAGGTGTACCTGTCCCTTGTCTAGAAACACAAAGAATTCTCACCTAAAATCAGCCTACTACAGATGATGTGCAATCAGTGACATACACAGCAACCCCGAATCAGTAAGAAACACCAGCTGTAAACAATGTAATACATTTTGCACCAACACACCCAAAGAAGTACATTTGGTGACACATGAAGGCAGTTTTGCAGATATGCATTTTCATATAAGCAAGTGAAGGTTCATGGTTAGGGAAAAAAAAAACAGATCTATTTCTCTGATAGAGCCTCAACATCAGTTTAGAATATTGTTGAAAGCCCCAAAATAATCTCATCTTACCTTTGAAAAAATATTTCCTTCTGCAGCTAATGTGAAAAAAACAGGACAGGAAAAAAACATTTGAAAAAGTTCCCAACAGTTGTACACATAAACTTTTGCTGTAAATGCACTGAACTATTAGCTTTTGGCAAACCATGACAGGCAAAAACCAAAACAGTTTTGGTCCAACAGGGCCTGCACAAAATGAACTCTGATTGTTTGCCCCTCACATTCTCTATTTTCCTTAGAGGAATTCTTTATGCTCATGATTGAAGATTACTTCACTCCAAAACAAAAAAAAACCCATGAGCAGAACAGTTCCTTGGTTTCTTCACCAGTGCAAAGTCCAGCATTCTTTAAATGCAGCAAAGAAAAATGAATTGTGAAATGTATGGATAACACACTCAAAAAGAACTATAATTACAGAAAGACATACTTTTTTTCTTTAGGTGCCTGTCTGTACAGATTGTCCTACAGGTGATTCCCAGCCAGGAAGAGTTCTCTCCGTAAAAGAAAGAACAGTTAAACAGAGTTTTGCCAAAATCTCTAGTCCGTTTGCCTTGCAAAGGAAATTAATTAGTGAATATGTGACCCTCAGGTGGCTGCTCTAGATCTCCCAGGATTGAAAATACTCTAAAAGTAGTCAGAGAAGCTATGCAGTGCCAGATATTTAAACAGAGAGAGATGTGAAGGCTCTAGCTAGCGACACAGAGCGGGGACTCATTTAGATGGTCGCTGCACAGGAAGGGGCCAGTTGTCTGCCAAGCAAAGCCAGAGATGCCAGCAAAAGTCTGAAGGGCTTAGCAAAGGAAAGGGTGGCCAGGTACATGCAAGAAGAGGCTTTCCTTTGAGGCCTGAAAGTACCTCATTCTTCATCTTTTCTTCCTACAAGCAAAACTTTCTGTTATGCCACCATTATGGGAAAACAGACATGTTTCTAAGAAAGTCCCAGTGAAGTGTGAGAATGCAGAGATGCTGGATTTGGATCAAGTATACTTTGGGGCTATTATATTCAACCTCCATGGAAGTGGTAGTATCTCTCAGTATTTCACAGGAAAGAGTTATTTTGTAGAAAATTATAAAACCACAGAATTCATAACATTTAGCAGAAAAAATGAGCTTAAATGAAAATCTGCTGAATCCTCAGCTTGGGGAATGAGGTTTCCTCCATAGCATTTGCTGTATATCTCCTTGACATACTTCGAGGTTTTCTTCAGCCATCATACTTTTTTTCTTCAGCCTATCCACATTTCTACACCTAACTGAATGCAGGAAGTTCTTTAGAGGACCACAGATGTGCTGCAGCTAAAAAAAATTATATAAATACATATATCTATGACAAAAACAAAGGTGGAATAAGGTACCTAATCAGGCTTCATTGGTCTGTAAGGTATTTTGCCTTTATAAAACAACTTTGTTTCTATTCCATGTCTTTTGTCTTTAATATAATGAAGCATCCACTTTCATCTTCCCCTTCAGAACACACAGAAACTGAGGCAAAGCTGTTAAAGACAAGGTATAGACTACAATTTAAACTGTATCCAACAGAAATGCAAATTGGATCCCTTTCCATTGCAAGTGGTACTAAATACAAATAGTAAGCACAACACACAGTCCTCTTATTTCTGCTAATACCTATCACAGCTGAGATGGCCACAATGCACAGAGGATCATCATACAAGTTCAGAAAGCTTCTGCCCACACAGAGTAACACCTCACTGCTGCAGAAGGCTGCCAGCCTCTGCTCCTCTTGTTCTCCAGCCCAGCCTTTTACACCCCTGATGTTGATGCATTGCCCTGTGTGCCCTCTGCTCCCTTGGGTGGTTGCTCAGTGCCCCTGGGCACCCCATGGCTCATTGCTGCCAGTGCTGCTCACAGCTGTGCCCATCCCCAATCACCACAACCTGGGTACCCACACGTACCCATCTGCAAGACCATTAGAGACTAGATGCAAATGGACAGACAAAAGTTTAATCTTGCATCCTAAGATAAAGAGATGTTTATGCGTAGAGTCCAACAGAAAGTGGTTCAGAAACTGTAGCTCTGTCTAATACAGCAAAGACACAGTCAACTATCCCCAAGAAGAGGAACTCTAGTCATCTTTTATGGCTGCTACATGAGAAATAGCTCTTAGTGATGGTAGGTCTGGAGCACCTGGAAAGTTTCTAATGAAATACCTCTTAATAAGAAGTATTATTCTATTTCAACACACAATATCCACAGAAAAATATTTCCTTGAAGGTTTAAGAAGAGTCTTCTTTAACTATAGATATAAATTAAATTAGAGCTTTAAATAAATAAAACCACAGACACAAGGAGGCCTGTTAAAAAAGCAAGAAGAACATGCGTTATGAATATTTAACTTGAACTAGAAAGGAGGGGTATAACTATTTTTTAGCTGGTTTTGAGTAGTTGTAGCTAGTAGTACATAAAATTAGGATTACTATGCGTTGCTGCTTTCCCTCCTTATGGTTATAGAAATCAAATCATCAAAATCTTTGCTGCTCAGTCCTGCACTGCTTAAAGCACACGCTGCAGGCCAGGACAGAATAGGGCAGGACAAGAAATCAGACTGATTACCTCTTCTTCCTTCTGACCTGTGAGACTGGGACCAAGAAGACATTATTTCCTAATTAATTTGATTTTTAAATCTCGTTATTATTGTCACTGAAATCAGCAGCATTTCTTGCCAGCCAATTGCTTTTACAACTTGTTGACTCTGTAAATATCTACTCAACAAGAACACATTTTTCTGTCAGGTCAGCTGGGAAGTTTATTTCTCCTGTCATTACATCAGATTACTATTTTACAGTTAAAGACAGATTGTTATCAGCCTTCAGAGACTTTAAAAATAATACAATATGGTTCCTGACACTCTCAAGCAGACTGATAAATGCCACCCACACAATTTGCAACATTTTTTATGCAGCATGCAAGAAGATTTGTTCTACAGATGTTTTGGAGTTAATTCTGCAGTGAAACCTGGTACAGAACAGAATCACCATGGCATGACACTTCTGCACTGAAACTTGCAGCAAATCTGCAATGCCTTTGCAGCTTACTGTAGAGAAAAACAGATCTGGAAGTTGTTTGTCACAGACAAAGGTGGCATAACATTCCAATTGAAATTTTTTATTTCTAAATCCAGTTGAGTAGCTAAAAGGTCAGCACTGCATGCATAAGGAACACAGTAAGCATTCCTGATTTATAAATAATATGGGAAAGTTTTGTTTTGTGAGAGTGACCACACTTTTCGCTGATATTTCAGGAATGGAGTAAACTTCCTAATCCACTGGATCTCCACGAACATAGAGGTCTTTCAGTATAAAATTTAGAACTTGTAGAAGATAACTGCCTATGTGCTATGACCGAGTACTTGGAACAGTCAGTTCTGGATATGGACAATAATCCAGTAACGAAGATCATCTCAGCTGTCTTTAATAGAGCATTACCATATTGCTGTGAAACAGGGGACTTGTTCATTTACCA